TAAAGGAAAGAACGGAGAAACATGCCCATAGCGTCCTGTCTGGCAGGGGCCAACGCCCCGTCTCGCTATTGTCTGTGTCTGGTTCTTTGATTGTTTCTGTCTCCTGTATAATAATTGTCCCTGGGTGCCAACCAATTAAGAAGGTGGGAGATGCTTGGTTGGAGAATCACGGTCCAGTGCGTGAGGATTGGTGCGTGACATTTTCAGTAGGATGGTTGGCTAAGGCAGGGGTTCTCAAACTTGCGATACTGCGACCCCCTTCTCAGTGGCTCGCCAGTCTGGTTCTTTGATTGTTTCTGTCTCCTGTATAATAATTGTCCCTGGGTGCCAACCAATTAAGAAGGTGGGAGATGCTTGGTTGGAGAATCACGGTCCAGTGCGTGAGGATTGGTGCGTGACATTTTCAGTAGGATGGTTGGCTAAGGCAGGGGTTCTCAAACTTGCGATACTGCGACCCCCTTCTCAGTGGCTCGCCACCCCCCTCGTATTTGTTTGCGGCCCCCCTCTAAGTGGTTCGTGATCCCCTGGGGGGCCGGGACCCACAGTTTGAGAAACGCTGGGTGAAGGAATACCTGGAAATACTGCTCTACGAAGGGGGTGGGGAAAAGGAAGGACGGGGGAAGAAAGGAACTTGGATTCCTGCTTGCTGGGAGCTAGCCCCAATTGTTGCCTCTCCGGGTTCGGGGCACGGCTGTTCTGTTCTGTTCACGAGAAGGACCAGGGAGGTGAAGGGGTGAAGGGTTAAGTGAGACGGGGAAGTGAGACGGTGAAGGGTTAAGCCCGCTCACAAGAGGAATAGGGAACAGGACAGACAACATCCTCCTGCCGCTCTGGACAGCCATAGGATGCCCACACCTTGTAGATGCGGGGCCGTTCTAGTCACCCCATCTCAAAAAGACATGCACTTCAACCTCGGGAATCCAGCAAGCCGGGGAACCAGGGGATGCCGGATTAAGGAAGTTTTGTGGACTATGGAGGGGGCGGGGTCTGGGAGGGAGGGCACCCCTGGGACACACAGCTATGGGAGCAGCAGGGAAAAGCCTCTGGCGAAGCGCTTTGCGGTCTGGCTGGTCCCCCCGCTGAGGGAGAGAAGGAGCAGGAACGCCCACAGCCGCTTCCTCCTCGGCCAGGGGCCGAGCCCGGGGTGTTCCCGGATGCCCGGAGGCTGGAGCGTGTTGGAATTGGAAAAGGGGCAGAGAAGGGCAACAAAATGGATGAGGGGGAAGGAAGATTTTCCATAAGAGGAGAGATTGAAAAGCCTGGGGTTGTTTCTCACTACGCTTGCCTACTCCCCTCTTGGCCAGGGAGGGCCAGGGCTCCCCCCCAGCTGCCAGGGAAGGCCGGAGCAGCCCTGGCTCTTCACCCCCTTGCCCTGGTCACCAGGGAAAGTCTGAGGCCGGCCCAGCCCTGCCTCTTCCTCCTTCCCCTGGCCACCAGGGAGGGCCTGAGGCAGCCCCGGCTCTTCTCTCCCTCTCCAGCCACTGGAGAGGGTCCAAGGCCATCCTGGATGCCCAAGTTCTTGGGCCCCCAGTCCCTTGCCCCCAGGCTCCGGGGGGGGTGGGGCTGGGCTGAGGCCACGCCGTACCCAGCTCTCCCCCCAGCGGCTGGGAAGGGCTGGGCCAGGGCCAGTCTCTTCTCCCCCACTATCCCGCCACCAGGGAGGGCTGGGCCGAGGCCGGGGCAGCTATGGCTCTTCCCCTGGCCACTGGGAATGGGGTAGGGAGGACCGAGGCCGCAGGCAGCCCCCACTCTCCGTGTGGGCCCTAGGAAGGGCCAGGCTGGGAGTGGGTGGGGCTTGGCTCCTGTGGACGCAGAGTGACGTGATGGTGTCACTCTGTTGTCCTGCAGGAAAAACGTTTTTTATATCTAGAGAGAGACACGGGAGAAAGGGACCGGAGAAGAGTTATTTACCCCTTCGCGGGACACAAGAACGAGGGGTCCCCAGGGGAAATGAACAGGCAACGGGTTGCACACCAACCCAAGGAGGGACGTCACACCACACACAGGCAAGCGGTGGGACCTGTTGCCGGGGATGCTGTGAAGCCCAAACTGGGTTCATAGAAGAACGAGAAAAGTTCCTAGAGGCAGGGTGAGCCAGGGTGGTCAGGGACACAATCGTATGCTGCGGGTGGGTGTCCCTAAACGGCTAGTTGCCAGAAGCACTGGTGCAGGCCATGGCCAGAGACAGGACCCCAGGCTGGACCGACCACTGGTCTAGCCCAGCAGGGCCGGTCTTAGTTTCTTTGATTCTTGCGTGGGGGGAGATTTCTCCCCCATCAGCAGCTACTGCATCTTCCTCTCCATTCATGCCCCCTGCCACCCTCTCCTACCTCCTTCCAGCTTCCCTGACTGCCCCCATGCAGCATCAGCCCCCCCCTTCCTGCACAGCGTCCTCCCCACTCCAGCTCGTCCCGATGCGTCCCCACCCGCCCACACCTCATCGGCAAGGGTGTTTCTCTCCCATCTCCAGATCTTGATGTCAGTTCAGCCTCGTGCACATGACCTGGCCCCACGCTCAGGAGCCCTAGATGCGGGGAGCATCCACATCCTAGCCCCCATGCAGCATCAGCCCCCCCCTTCCTGCACAGCGTCCTCCCCACTCCAGCTCGTCCCGATGCGTCCCCACCCGCCCACACCTCATCGGCAAGGGTGTTTCTCTCCCATCTCCAGATCTTGATGTCAGTTCAGCCTCGTGCACATGACCTGGCCCCACGCTCAGGAGCCCTAGATGCGGGGAGCATCCACATCCTAGCGAGGGCCCGCCTCCGCGCCGGCGTCCGGGCCAGCGGTGCCCTCGCCC